GCTCCCCGCCCCCAATCTCCAAATCCCCAATTATTTCTGTGACCTGGACTCCACCCCTAGAAATGCCCTCGCAGCTGCCAGGAGCCAGAAGGGGAGCGTGACCTCGCGAGGCAGGTATTATTATGACCCCAGGTTTCGGGTGAGGAGAGGGAGACACAGAGGGGCTCGGTGGCCTTCTAGATCTCAGGAGGGTGGGGTGTAGTCTAAATTCGAACGCAGACCTGAGGGTCCTTGTTCAGCGCCCCCCGCGCCCCGGCCTCCAGGCCTATCAAGGGCTATGCCATGCCCTCCATGAGGACGCGTCACTTGTCCCAGCTCGGACGACACCGCGCACAGCCCGTTTCAACTCCCTCAGGGCTTGCGGGTGGGGGTGTCGTGTGTGGACGGACGCGCAGTGGGTGGACTTGAGGCTCCGGGCCCCCAGTGACCCGCAGGTGAACATCTGCCCCCTCCCCAACGCGCGTGCGCCTCCCACCCGAGGAGATTAAGGGGAACTTTGAACCCTGTCCCCAAGCCCTGATGGGGAGGATTAATCCGATTGTTTTAAAACCCTAGCCTTCCCCCGCGCCCCACTCCCCGGCGTCCCGGGCTGCCCGCCCTCTTCCTCCATAGCCCGCTGGCCTTGTGGGGGGTGGGGGGGATCTTTGATCCATTTTACCGGCGGCAAATGGGATAGGCAGTGCCTTGGCCAGGGATCTGAGTCTTCCAGTGCCTTTTCCTGGACACCCCCACCCTCCTCCCACTTTGGAGTCCCAGCTCTGGAGGCCCACTTTATCCAGGAAGCCTTCTCTCTGCTTAGTGACTCACCACCCGGGAGTGGATCCTTTGCTCAGGGCCCTGGGTGCGGTTCGGGAGGGCACACACATGACAGCTTCTTTCTCCGACTACTAAACTCTGCTGTCTGGGCTGGACCACTGTGGGGCCTGGGACAAGGCCATCCTGCAGCTTCCATTTCCCCACCTGCATTCCAGACACCGGACTCAGTGACCTGTGACAGCGCTCTGGGGCTGAATCTCCTGGTGCCTGAGAGCTGTTCCCACTAACCTGGGTGCATCCTGAGGGGTCCTCTGCCCAGCTTCCAAAGCCTTCTTCTTCAGATAAGAGCACCCTGGTTTTCCAGGGAGGACCCTGTCCAGCCACCTGCAGGTATATGGTATGCTGGGTGGCCCCCACCCTCCTAGCTCTTGGCCTGGCAATCAGCGTTCTGCCCCATGGCTTGGAGAAAGGCACTCAGCCCTACAGGTGGGGAAGGGGCTGGTGACTTGGTGCTGCCAGAGCTACTGCCAACAGGGACCTCATCTAAGGGGGTGAAAATTTAAGGGCGATGTGGGGGTGGGCAGAGAGGTAGTCCTGGTGTCACAGAGCCCTGGGTTGAGTTTGAGGCTGGGTCCCCATTGAACTTGTCTGCTTGGCTTTCTGGCCTCAGGCTGCTTAGAATCTTCAAGTCCCCTCATGACTCTGAGTGCCCTCTGGACTTGGTGATCTGTTTGCTCGAAGCTGCAAACTGGTTATTGCTGTCCCATGTTCCATATTCCTGCATGCAACACCTACTCTCTGAGATAGCCTCAGGGTGCATCCTGAGTGACCAAGACACAGCCCTGCCCCACGGGGCTTATGGCCTGGGAATGTGACCAGGTGATCTGTGCCTTGGGGAGGGGTATGTCACAGGGTCCAGGGCCCGGACATTCCCTGAGGAGGAGACACCAACAGACCTGCAGGATGAGTTTGGAAATGACTAGTGAAGGGGCTGGAGGTGGAGGGATAGAAAGTGCCCCAAGCAGTTGGCCCTGAGACTGGTGAGGGCTCCCAGTCTCCCTTGAAAGAACAGCAAGGTGGGGGGTGGGCAGGGAGCATAGAGGGCCCCGCAGAGCATTGTGGGCCGTCTGGATTCTAGCCCAGCAGCACAGAGGAGCCAGGCATGGGTTGTAAGCAGGCGTGTAGTGCAGCCAGTTAGGGTTTTCTTAGGTCCCTCTGGCCTTGGTGCCTTCCCAGGGCTCTGCCACCTTGGGAAGAAAAGAATTCCTTGCTTCATTATGCAGTACTGCCACGAGGCCTCCTTGCCCTGGTCAGCTTTGTGGCAGGAGGAGGGAGACAGGTGGGATGCCTGTTTTGCAGATGTTTGTAGATGCAGTAAGATCCTGACTGTGGATGGGCTGGACCACTTAGAGAAGGCTTCCCAGGAGAGGGCCCCCAGCTGCAGATGAATAGAAATCACAACAAAATGTGCTGAGAGGGATGGTAGGGGTAGAGGAGTACCAGAGAGGGAACAGTATGTGCAAAGGCACAGAGGCAGGAGGGAACACAGTGTACCTGGGAAACCCCTGAATCAGCATTTGAGTGTGAGGAACTGGAGTGTGTTTGCACATGTGTCAGTGTCTCTCTCTGAGGCTGTGAAGGTGCAGGCAAGGAGCAGCGAGAGGCCTCTGCATTGGGTGGGCTGGTGCTTGCAGGAGGTGGGTGGTGGAGGATGGGCAGAGGAGGCAGGGGAGACCACATGAAAGCCAAGGCTGTCAGTTGGGGGAGGGTTAGCTGGTGGATAGAAGGGGGAGGTTAAACATGGAGAATAAACCTTGTGCTTATCTGCACTTCCTCTGGAAGGTTTATGAAAATGATGGCAAAGAATTTAAAAAGGTATAAACACAAGAAAGGAGACAACTGCCAATGAGAGGTCCAACACATTTTAGGAAGATAGAAACTGACAGGACTCAGCAGAGAAGGGGAAGCAGCCACCTGCTTGCCTTCCTGGGGTGCACAAGAAAAGCACCCATAAACCAGCAGAAACTGGTGAGGCCAAGTCTACACATTGCAGAAGGTAAGGACGGGTCTGATGACAACCATTGTGGTGGACAGACCCTGATGTGACCCTTATGATCCCCTGGCCCCTGATTTCACAGCCCTGTGTAATCCCTTCCCCTTGAGTGCAAGCAGGACCTATGACTTGCTTCTAACCAATAGAATATGGCATGGGTGATGGGATGTCACACCTCCGTCTCAGAATACTGCAGGGAGAGACTCTCCTTGTGGGCAGGATGAGCTAAGCAGCCTGTAGAGGAAGCCTGAGAGGCAAGGGACTGCATGTGGCTGCCAGCTGCCAGCCAGCAAGAAGGCAGAGTACTCAGTCACACAGCCACAAGGACAGAAATCCTGCCAGCAACCAACCAAATGAGCTTGGAAGCAGATTTTTTTCCCCCAGCTGACTCTCCAGATGAACACACAGTGGGCGGCACGTTGATTGCAGCCATGTGAGACCCTGAGCAGAGGACCAACTCAGCTAGGCCTCCAACCCCCGGGAACTGTGAAAGAATACATGTGTGTTGGGAGGGAGGGTACAGCTCAGTGTTAGAGTGTGTGCTTAGCATGCACAAGGTCCTGGGTTTAATCCCCAGTACCTCCATTAAACAATACATTAAAAAAAAAAACCTAATTGCCTCCTCCCCCAATTTTTTTTTTAAATTAAAAAAAAAAGACTATGTGTGTGTTGTTTTAAGTCTGTGGTCATTTGTTACACAGCATAGGAAACTGATACACTCCCAAGTCCTCCCACAGCTGCTCAGTTGTATAAGTCCACTTCCCAGTTTCCACCCTACCCCAGCAGAAAATAAGATGCATAATCTCTGGAGAGAGATTCCTAAATCAGGGCATCAGGCATGGCAGAGGCAGGAATGAGTGTGGGGCTGAAAAAGGTTCTTGAGTATACCACAGCTTTCCCATCCTTCCCTGTCTTGCTCCTGGGATGCCAGGAACCAAGCATGTGTCCCTAGGCAGAAGATTGGAGGGGTCATCTGTGCCACCACTGGGAGATTCCTGATCACTCACTGCCTCTTGCTGTAAAGGCCATGTGACCCATTATGGTGATGAAAAGAGTGGAAGTGACACACTGCACTTTCCTGTTGTCTCACCATTGCTCTTTTCCCTCTGCCACAGAAAAGTGTGTCCTGGATGGAGGCAGCTCCTTCAGCCTAGGTCCCAGAATGAAAAGGACACACAAAGCAGAGCTGCAGCAACCTACAGACACAACATAACATGAAGAAGAAATAAACCTTTGCTGTAGTGTGTCCCTCAGATTAGGGGGATGTTTGTTACTGCAGCATAACTTAGCAAAGCTGACTGGTACACCCAAGAAAGCTGTCTGGATACATGAAAACCCAGCAGGGACTACTTCCACACAGAGAGATTCCAACTGGCTTGTCCGAGCTCCACCCTGGTGTGAATGGCAGCCCAGGATTGCTGGGCACTAGAGAAAAACCTCCAATAAGAAGGACAGAGACCAAAACAAAGAGAGAAAAGGAAGTAGGATGAAAAGAGAGGATTCAGGGAGCAGAAGAAAGTGTCAAAATAAATCCTAATTCCTCAGAGAGGACATGAAACTAGAATGATGTTACCAGTTTTAATGGAGCAAAGAGCTTGTAGAAGTTTAAAGGACAATAGTCAAAGTAAAGGGTGGGAGAAAATGTTAAGGAAACCCCCTAAAGAGCAGACCCTAAATGACAAAGAAATAGAAAAAAGGCAAAGATAAAACAACAAAATTAGAGGATGAGCCCAGGAGTGCTAATTCCAAGAACAGGAATTCCAGAAGGAGAGCCCTGCAGTATACAAGTCCCCAGAGTGCTGAGGCCCACTGCTCCGGCCCTGCACGACAGTCTCACAAAGATCCTAAAGAGTCCCAGAGAGGAAAAACAAGTCTCACGGAAAGGACTGAGGGTTGGAGAGGCTATGGGTTTCTCAATGGCAGCACTAGGAGCTAAGATGGCAATGGAGAAATGTCTTCGAAATGTTTTTAAACTTGAAATTCTATACCTAGCTGAGCTATCACCAAGCATGAGGTTAGATGAAGACCTTTTCAGATGTGCAAGGATTTTACTAATCAACCTTTTATGCACCTTTTCTCAGAAAGCTGCTGGAGGATGTTCTCCAGAAAAACAAGGGAACAAGAAAGAGGAAGACATGGGATCTGGGAAACAGGGACCCAACCCAAGGGAGAGGCAAAGGAGAATCCCAGGTCAACAGTAGCTGTGCTGCAAGCCCAGAGAACAGCTAGCAAGGCTTATTGAGGAGGGATCTTCTGGGAGGCAAGCTGTGGGGCACGGATGAGGACAGAATCTGTGATAGTGAATAGTATCAAGAGATTGTTGGAGCATTGGGAATACTTGGGGATGGATACAAAGGAAGCTATCAGTTATCAGTTGCTGCATAACAAATTGCCACAAATGTATCTTACTGTTACAATGGAAGGCTGGGCATGACTTAACTGGGTCCTCTGCTCAGGGCTTCACAAGGCTACACTCAAGGTGCTTGCTGGACTGCAGGCCCATCTGAGGCTCACCTGGGGAAGGGTCCACTTCCAAGCTCACTGAAGTTGTTGCTGGAATCCAGTTCCTTGCTGCATAGGACTGAGGGCTTCAGTTTCTTGCTACTATTAACCAGAAGCTGACCTCAGCGCTTACAGGCCACATACAGTTCCTGGCTGCGGCTACACAACATGGCAGCCTACTTCTTCCAAGCCAATAAGAGCATAAGAGATGCTCGCATGATGGGCACTGCAATCTTATATCACATAATCACATACAGCCCATTTCTTTTACCACGTTCCATCGGTTAGAGTAAGTCACAGGTCGTGCCTGCACTCAAGGACAGGACATCTACAAAAGGGTGTGAGCACCAGGTGGTGGGGATCTTTGGGAGCCGTTTTTGTTTATTTTTGTTGTTGTTGTTGTTTTGCGGGGGCAGCAAAGTAATTAGGTTTATTTGTTTATTTATTTTAAAATTTAACTGGAGGCACTGGGGATCAAACCCATGACCTCCTGCATGCTAAGCATGCGCTCTACCACTAAGCTTACCCTCTCCCTCCATTTACTTATTTTTTCATGGAGGCACTGGGGGTTGAACCCAGGACCTCGTGCTTGCCAAGCATGTGCTCTACCACTGAGCTACCCTCCCCGCTAGGAGCCATTTTTGAAGCCTAAACAAAGCTAATTATTAACTTCATGAACCACTAGAAGTTAAATCAGAAAGGACACAACCACAGTGCTTGACTCAGTAGCAAACAATGTTTCTATAATCATTATGATGAAACCGCTGAATATTGGTTTAAGGAAAAATTGTTACGTGTTGGTAATAAGAAGCCACCCAGGGAGAAAGTGTTGTGTGGGTGCGTTTCAGGGAGGACTGTGAGAAAGCGGAAACCTTGTCTTCTGTCAGAGGAAGTCGATAGATAACGGCTCAAATTGGTAAATCAAGTAACAGCAGCACGAGTTTGTTATTTATAAACACGGAGATAAAATCCAGGCGAAGAAGCCAAAAGAGTTGCCTGTGGGTGTTTCTGGGACGGACTGGGGGTGGGGCAGTTCGGGAGGGGCTGCTGCTTTTCCTTACAGGCTTATTTATCTTTTAAAATTCTGTGCTTGTCATGTGCTTATACTTTAAACTATGGCATTACTTCGATAAAAATACACATTAATTAATAGAGAAAGAGATAGGGGGGAGGAGAAACATCCTCAAGAGTGAACAGGGAAGTCCCCAGGCATCCTGAACAATCTTCTTACCCTGGAGGAAGGGGTTCCACGGATCCAGGGAATGGAAGCCCCTGAGAGCCCTTTACTGACGCATACAAGAGAGAATACGGTAACCGGAGCTTCCACAGGGAAAATACGGTAACTGCCTGGGGACTGGGAAACCACGTGGCTGGGAAGGTTTGGGAAGGTAGTGGTGAGGCCGGAATCAGGACCCCTCTCCTGGGGGCGGGTGGGGAGGGGCATGAGCCTTAGGCGCAGCGTGAGATGCCCCCACCCGATAGTCCCCTTCTCCCTAGACATTTCTCGGGAAAACCCTGCAGGCTCTGGTGAGGTTTTGTTTTGTTTTCAATTCAGTAGATTTTGTATAATTTGTTTTTATCTAAGTAGTAAATGCTTCTAGTAAAAACACTGGGAAGCACAAGATGTCTTGGAAAAGAACTGCCCAGCAGTGATGACCACTGTCAGGCTATCTGGGTTCCCAAGCGTCCTTCCGGTTCCTGTTTGGTTTTTTTGTTGGGGGGAGGGGTAATTTGGTTTAATTTATTTTTAGAGGAGGTGCTGGGGATTGAACCCAGGACCCTATGCTATGCATGCAAAGCATACACTCTACCACTGAGCTATCGCCTCCAAACATTTCCTGTTGATGTCAATCTCTCTCCCTCATGCACAGGGGTCTCTCCTTCCACAACCATGGTCTTTACCCCCACTTTATTCACTTAGCTGCCAGTAGACAGGTGCACTTCCCACAAGACCCCCAGAGAGAGCTGTCTTCCTCCTCTCCCGGGCCCCTGCGCCAGCAGCCCCCTGACTTGTGCACCCAGTCCCCAAGGGCTAGGTGTTCAGGTCAGGTGCAGGATCTTGCTCTCACTAACTCAGCTGCCGATGGGACACCCCTGCACCCCTGCCAGGCTTTCTTTTGGCCCATTGCCTGGGAGTCTGAGCTTGGCTGGGAGCACCTGTCATGGGCCAGAGTCCCAGGGCCTCACAGCAGTGTGGCCTGAACATCTGAGGAGGGTCTGGTGTGAAGGAGGTGGGAGGAAAGGAACAGTGGTGAAGGGAGGAATGGGGGAGAGATGGAATCTGGGGGTGTCTGGCAACCACTCAGGGCACAGGGCCACAGCTGAGTGGCCCACTGGCTGTGTGGGGCTGGGGACTGGCTGAGACATCCTCCCCAGAGCATAGTGGCTTCATATGGCTTCACCACTTCCTCCTGCATGTACTTTAATGTGGCCTTGACAACTTGCTTAACCTCTCTGGGCCTCAGTTTCCTCATCTGCAAGATGAGAATGACAAGAGCACATCTGTCATAGGAGGGGAGGCAGAAGGCAGTGGGAAGGAGTTAGGGGACGCTTCCAGAGGAGCGGTAACAAGGCTAGGCCATGAAGGAAAGAAAATCCTCACGAGTTTCTTTTACTTGCTTCACTCCGCTTTCTACATATGGAGGACCTTAACAATGTCTTCTATATGGGTTGTGTGTGTCAAAAGGGGTGTGTTGTCAGAGTTTCGGTCTAAAGTGCCTGTCCCTGTGGCTCCAGCCCCTCTTGTGGCAGGGCTGGCTCGCCTGGCCTCCAAGTCTCATTTTCCTCAGTCAGATAATGGGCATGGCAGCCCCACCTTAGAGAGACATGGTCATAAACAGATAACCCTGCTTCGTCCCCAGACCACCTGACCAAGGGTCCCTGCAGCCCAGGAATGGGCCAAGCCAAGTTTCCCTCTGCTCTTCTTGGGGCCAGTTTGGCTAAGTCCCACCTGCTGTTCTGCTGGGGAGCCTGATTTTGGCACAGATGTATTTCTAGAGACAAGGAGTATCACCAAGTCCGAGGCCCTGGGGGGTGTCTGGGCTCCTTCCTGGAGCTGCCCCTGGCCCTGGCCCCACCTCCCATAGTCATGGCGTGGGACTTGGAATGGGAGGAATTTCTGACCAAGGGGACAGGTCCCTAGAGGAAGTGTTGTTAAACAGTGGTAGAGTCTGGCCCGGCCCCTGGGCTTTCCCTGGCTCTAGAAAGAGGGTGGGGACTAGCCAGAGTGTAGGGGTCTGAAGGCCGTGAGAGTACAAACAGCAGCCTGGGGACTGCTGGGGTCCTACTGCCTGGCCCCAGAGCTCCAGGTCAGATGGAGTTCTCTTTCCAGGCACGGACCACCCTCCCCACTCTTACTCTTGCCCAGAGTGAGGTCTGCTGAGTTCTAACACGGACCCCCACTTGCCCCACTTCGGGGACAGGCCTCCTGGAGCATGGAGTCCTGAGCTGGCTGCTCCACTGCAGCTGCAGGAAGGATTTTATTCCACCCAACACCCTGCACACACATATTCAATTACAGAAAGAAAAGCTTATGGGACAGAGCTTACCCTTACTAAGTACTCTGTCAAGTATCTCTTATTTAATTTTAAAAAATGTTTTATTCATAATTGTCCCAAACTGGAAACAACCCAATTTTCCATCAGCCAGTGAATGGATAAGCAAATGTGGTACATCTGTAAAAAGGAATGCAGCTTCGCAATGAAAATGAAAAAATCGCTGATACACACAGCACCCTGGATGCCTTTCACAGACATGAGTGAGTAAAAGGATCCTTGTACAGTAAGTGCTTACCATCTAACTCCACTTCTGTGACGTCTGAACAGGTCAAGTGAATCTAGGTGACAGGAAGTGGATCTGTGGCTGCTGGAAGTCTGAGGATTGATGGGGAAGGGGCACAAAGGAACATCGGGCAGTGGCGGAAATTGTCTATATCATGACTGATGCATCCATTGGCTAAAACTTACAAGACCGATACTTAAAGTGGGCACATTGAACCATATGACTATTTTGCATAAAAGAAAGAAAATACTGGTTGTTCATACATTGATTGCATAGCCCACTAATTAATCGATGGCCCACCACTGGGGCTGCACTGACATCTGTGGAGAAGAGGGGCAGGGAAATACAGAAATGTACAAGCAGGCCTGACCACGCTGGCGAGCTGGAGAGATTGCTTTGGGAAAGGAATTCTGAAGGGGAGCATAAGAGAATTTAAGCTGGAGAGATGGGTGCAGGCAAGGGAATTGCAGGAGTGAAGAACCCAAGGTGAGAGGGTCACCAAGTCCTTGGAACTGGTGGCCCTTGTGGCCTGAGTGCTCCGGAGGTGGGGTCTTTGTCTATTTTGTTCTGTGATGCAACCCCTGGTGCCTGACCCATAGTAGATTTTCATTAAATGAGGAATAAGACATTCACTTAAAAAAAATGATGAATGAGAGAAGAATGAATGCTGGGAGTGAGGGAAGGTAGTGTCATGTGAGGCTGGGGCTGGGCTGGAGAGACTGTGAGGGACTCAAGGCCACCAAGAGCCCACTGGCTTTGTCCCCAGAGCACTGAGAAAGTGCCCCCTCAGCAAGCCTGGCAGAAGTCCAGCTGAACTAGATGAGTTCTGGGCAGTCACATGCCTCTCCTGATCCAATTGCTGTGTTCAGAAATGCCTCACATTGATTGGCTAAGGCTTGGTTCCTGATTAGTTCTATGAAGATCGACCCACCCTGGAGCTGGGGACCCACCCCCACCTCTGCAGCTACCTCCTCCTGTCCCTATCCCACCCTGAGTGGAGTGGACATTGTGAATGGCTGTGAGGTCCTCCATATGTAGAAAGCAGAATATAGCAAATAAAACTCACCAGCCCAGCTGTGAGTAGTCACCGCTATCTGTGTGGCACCCACTCACACCCCAGGTCTGTTACTCTGCACCCACAGCTTTGCTTCCTGGTTCTATAAGATGGGACCGTGTTGTACCCACCGATCTGCCACCTACTTTTGCATCAGTCATGACCCCATCAGCTTTTCATGCCTGACTCTGGCCTGGGCCTGGGAGTGCTCACAGGTATCCCCAGTTTTGAACACTGGGTGCCCACATGGGCCAGAGAGAGAGCTCCCTGAGCCCACACTGCACCGGGGAGCCTCGGGGTGCCTCGGCCCTCATGCCAGGTGTAGGTCTGCCCAGTGGCTCTTATTTCTTTGTTCTTCCAGCTCCACAAGGCTCCAGCTTCTCTCTCCCAAAGGCCCCTCTCCAGGAATAACAATAGCATTGATTGTGCCTGTGCTATGCACTGCCCTAAGGTTTGGCACACAGAACTCATTTAATTCCCTAAAATCGTAAGTTCTACTACAGTCATCCCTATTTACACGTGAGGACACAGAATATGGAATTATGACTCCCCAGTCGACAGCAAACACAGGGCAGGGTTGAATTCACACCTAGACTCCCTGCCCCGGTCCGTGCTCCAATCACCAGGCTATCAGCCTCCTCCCATCAACTTGCTACGCAGCCAGTGAGTGTCCTGATGGCCCCATCTGACCACAGCACTCTGCCGACAACCCTCTCTTGGTTAGAAACACCATGTAGTCCAGCAATTCCACTTCCAGACATAAGCCCCAATGAATTGAAAGCAGGGACATGAACAGATATGTCCCCATGTTGATAGCAGCATTATTCACAGTAGCCAAAAGGTGGAAAAAACCCATGTCCATGGAAGAATTAATGGATAAATAACACGTGGCATATCCAGCCAATGGAATATATTCAGCCTTAAAAAGGAAGGAAATTCTGACAGATGATACTGCATATCTGAACCTTGAGAAAATATGCTGAGTGAAAGAAGCCAGTCCCAAAGGGCAAATCCTGTATGATCCCTCTTATGTGAGGGACCTAAAGTAGTCAAAATCGTAGAGACAGAAAGTGGAATCGTGGTTGTGGCTGCCAGGGGCTGGGGAAGGGGGCAACAGGGAGTGGTTTATGAACACAAAGTTTTAGTTTTGCAAGACGAGAAGGCTTCAGTGGATGGATGGTGGTGATGATTATACAATACTATGTGTTACTTAAGGCCGCTGAACCGCACACTCTAAGATGGTAAATTTTATGTGTATTTTAATCACACATTTTACAAATAATTAAACAAGAAATGCTCCCTTGGCTCTGCAGTGCCCCCATGGCAGACCAGTTACATAATTTGTGGGGCCCAGTGTACAATGAAACTGCAGGGCCCCTGTTCAAAAATTAAGAATTTCAAATAGGCAACAGCTGAGTATTAAACTAAACATCATCTCTCCTGGGCAGGGACCCCACCGGATGGCACACGTTGGATTTCAAGGGGCTGGCCTTCCCCCTGCCGCAGCCCAGCCCATCTCCCCCTGGGGTCCTCCTGTAACGGGGCTTCCTTTCGGCTTTGTTCCTGCGTCTGGGGCTTTGTCTATATTGTTCCCTCGGGTGAAATGCTCTTCCCAGAAGTGTCTGCATCTTCAGATCCCAGCTCAGCTCTTCTTAATACCAAACTGGTAGTGGGTGTTGGCTGCTCAGTGAGGGTGGGGCCACTTCCGTCAGGTCCTCTTGCCGCCGCCCAGGCCCAGCCTGGGCCTGCCCAGACACAGGGCAGAGAAAGGAATCAACTCATCCAAGTCACCACGTTTTATTCAGAGTAATAGTGGGCAGCTGCTGCGTCCCAAGGCTCCCCGGCCTTCCCGCAACCCCCTGGAATCTCACCCATGTGACACTGGCGGGAATGGGCGCAGACAGGCGAGGGGCCTGCCCGAGGCCTGCCTGACGCCGGCCTGGGGGGTGGGGATGCTCGCCAATATCCCCAGTTTTGAAACTCCGCGCCCACGTGCACCAGTGGCACGCCTGGACTTGGCGGGGCGGGGCTGCGGGGCTTTCGGGCCCGGCCCTCACTGCCCAGACGGGAAAATTCAGGGTCCCCGCCTTCGGGCAGGCTCACAGGGCTTCTCCCTGCCGGCGCGCCCATTTGCCGGGTCAGGAGACCGAGGCCCGGCCTGGAGGTGGCAGCGGGGGCGCGGATGTCCTCTGGGACGGGGCCTGGTCCGCGCTGTGCGCCCCGGGCGGGCGGGCGGGAGCGTCCTGCCCTGCGAAGGCGGCGCCGAGGCCTTCGGCAGCCTCTCCGCACGCGGGGCCCGGGTCCTCGCCCGCGCGGTGGAGAAATCCCGCCGGCGGCCCGAGGAGGAGGCGCGGCCGGGAACCGTAGTCATGGTGACCGCGGGAGACAAAGAACCGGCGCCGCCGGGCGACAGGGGCGGCAGAGGAGGCGCCGGCCCCGCGGAGGCCCCGCGGCCCAGCTGCCGCCCGAGCTCCGGCCTCGGGGTGGCCTTAGGCCAGTCTCGCTCTCTCTGGGCCTCAGTTTCCTTATCTGGACCGCGGGGCCCGAATCCAGGAGCTCCTCTAGCTTCTCGCTGGGTTTGGCTGTTTTCTTTCCTTTCACCTCCCCCCTAGGCAAAAGTAAATAAATCTGGAAGGTCCTCTAAGGGTGAACCTGGAGAGGGAGTGCCAAGTTCTGAGGAGGCCCAGCCTCCTCTATCAGAAGAGGAGGAGACCAAGGCCTGGGAGCAGGAGGGGAGGTCCACGGGACACAGGGGAGGCCCAGGGCAGACCCTTCACAGCCTTCCAGGCTGTGGGGAGCCAGGGAGTGACAGGGGTGATCCCCCTCTCTTAGCCTGGCCCTGCCTCAGCACCTGCTGCAACCCAAGGGTCCCAGCAGGACCAGGCACTATTGTTCTGGTGGCAGAGGCCCGTCACTCCAGTTCCTGGACGCTTGTGCCCTCCTGGTGGGTAGGCAAGGCCTCCTTCCCGAGAGCCCTGTTAGTCTGCAGTCACAGGCCGAGGGGCACTGGGCATCCACTTTACCCCAAGCTGGGCCTCAGTTTCCCCATCTGTAGAAGGGGGTGAGAGGAGCTTTAGACTCGAGACTCTCACAGCCCTAGGCTCTCTGAGGCCTTGTTCCAGTCACCATCGGTTGGCCTGAGGTGTGATAGAGCCCTGGGCCCCTCCAGGCTGGGTGTGCTGTCCTGGGCATCTGAGTAGTGTCTGCAGGTAGCTGGTGGTCTCCTTCTGTGCCCAGCCTCCTGGGTTAGACTCCAAGCCAGGGGCCAGGCCACAGTGAAGGTTGGGCCTGACCCCTGCCCCATCCCCAGAGCCCTCAGACCCAGGACCAAGCACAGGAGGCCAGGGGCGGGGTCAGCAAGCTCCTCAGCACCTGTGGGGCCTGAGCTTCTTTCCTCACCTGGCCCTCTGAGGCCGTCTCAGTTCCTCTCAGTGTGTGTGCTGACTCTGACCAGTGGGGAAGGGGATGGATGGA